AAGTATACTATTAACATGTGGCAAATTCACCTAGAGTTATAAATTGGAGATCCTGTGATATTCTATTTTCACTAAACTATTAAGAAACTTAGAATGAATTTACATACCATAGAGTTCAAAGATGATAATGATAATAACTATCTTTTGCAATAATTTGGTAATGTTAACAATATTCCTTTAGCATTTTTGCTTGTTTGCTTGTTTGTTTTAAGCTTGAGCAAGGGCCTAGCCTGTCATGGAGATTCTAAATTCGGAAATATTCTTTTGAGGCTTTAGGGTTCTTGTGTTTTCAATAATCCTCTGAAGGATGTGAACATATCACTGTGATGGATAACAACTCTATCAGCTGATATTGGAGAGAAAATTACTTGATATTGTAGCTGACAGCAAGACTGCAAGGGAGCAGCATGTGGGGCACTGGGAGAAAAGGATGCTTTGGGGAGGGGGAAAGGGTGTCTGAACTAGTCTAATAATGTGGTCCATACTGGCCTTTGTCACTGCTATTAAATTATATTGCTTAGAATGCATTATATGTTATGCTTGATAGGCCCAAAGCATAGCTTTTTACACACCTCCCTCAAGCAAACCATCTTTTGCCAAATTTTCAATTCCGCCGATATTTTAGCATTTTCCCAAGAAACCAACCTCAAAATTTGGGATCAATTTCTGACTGTTCACTTTTATTCATCCCCATTTATAACATATATGCATTTCTTGGAGATCCTTTCTTTTGAGTGTTTTAGGACTTGCCTGAATTGCTACATCCACACTGCCACTCCTTTGGTCCATGACCTCATTGCTCTATGCCCAGATTACCGCAATAACCTCTTAGTCTCTAGTCTTTTCAGTCCACGTGAATTACTCCTTCCATGATGCCACTCTCCTGACTAACAATTCTCAATGACTTTCCCAAAGCTTATTAGGTCAATCGCAGACTCATATCACTGGCCTCTGAGAAGCTTCATAAATAGATTTCACCCTGCCTATACAACCAAATACATTACTTTACCTAAACATATGTTGCTTAAGACAGGACATTTCCCTCATAATTATTACCACTTCCTAGGTATCCCTTCTTACATGACTTTGACCAAGCCGATCTTTTCAGTTAAGATATATTCATCCACCCATCCACCTATCCATCCCATCTTTCTGTCAATCCAGCCAGCCAGCCCACCAGCCAAATAGCCCACATTTAAGAAAGAGGTCCCTGGCACTGTGCTAGATATTAGAAATACAGACTAACATTTTTTATGTCCTCAGGATGCTCCCAGTCAAGTGGGGAGGCAGAAATTACTTGATTACATGGCAGTGTAGGCTACAGATAAGATGTGTTATAGGAGAATTTGAAAGGGCTTTTAACTCAGCCTGCAAAAATCAGGAAAAGAAAGAGGTGACACCTAAGCTAAATCTTAGAATTTTCCTTTCTCTTATCTCTGACCATCTAAAAACCATGCCTTTAAAAGAAATCTGACTCCACTCTTTCTTTCAAAGAAAATCTCAAGTCTAACTTCCTACATAAAGCTGTCCTCAACAACGTGAGCTGACCTAGAGAGCTACCCTTTCTACTAGCTGGTGAGTGCATTTTCAACATAGTGATAGTCCAAGTCATATTATACTCTAATATTTCCTTTCTGTAAGTCCCCAGAACTATAATCTATCCCCAGGAAATCACTAGGTTCTTCAAAGGCAGACTCTGGTTGTTCTTCTTTGTTCCTCCCAGTGCCTATTATAATGATGAATTACTTTTAACTGTGCTAACACAAACACTCTTGAAGTTAATTAAATCAGCTTCTCTTCCCAGTAATCCTCTAGCCATTGTGGACACCCACAGGGACATCTGTGGAAATGTCATTTTGGAGGCTCCCGGCAGCCATGTTTCTGCTGCAGTGTAGGGCCCAAGCTGGGCTAAATCAGATTCCTTCTGAGAATTTGAAATTAGGATATTGAAGGATTCCACACTGGTCAAAGCTGGGTTTTTTTTATTCTCAAATTATTATGAATATTCCTGAATTATTTACTTCTGAATTATTACTAAAATATGCTTAGATCTCATTAGTAATAATTCAGGAATCAAAACAAACAAAATAAATCTCTCCATCACAATTCGCCTCAATCCAAAAGTACTTATAATACTTTTTAAAAATTAGATGAAAATATCATATTTGACTTTGGAATAATAAATATGATTCTTTTATATTATAGTCAATAACTTTTTTTATATTTAAATGTATAGATTTGGAACTAAAAGCTTTCCAAGAGCCTCTTTTTTTGGTCCTTTATGATAAGAATAGTATCATAATTTCAGCCCAAACCAAAATATATCCACTAGTCTGGGGGAAATAAGTCTCCAAATAAAGATTTTTTCTTTAAAGGAATGTATGTTCTTCCTAAAAATAATATGCAGTTTATGAGGTAGTATTTTTTTAAAAAAAACATTCTTACAGCTACATAAAAGTTTATATCTGAGCAAATAAAATATAATGAGCTAGAATGTAGGAAAAAAAAACAGCAAACTTGGATTTCCTCACTATCAGATTTTTAATGAGCACGTATAATATTTAAGAACATTCACAGATGCACTAAACTCAAATCAAACAACTGTAATGGAAAAGGTCCTAAGGTTCTCTCTTCCTATCTGAAACATAAATAAAATTTAACCTTCCCAATGATGTATCATGGGCAACAGAAGGCAGTGCTGAGGAAGGCATTCCCTCCTTCCTAGTCAATGGGAACGCACACTAAGGACCTATGGGAAGCTGTGCTCTCCATCTCTTAGTGATGCGTTACCTAAAGTTACAGAGGATTTGAAGGAAAGAGACCCAGACATCTTTTCTCAGGTTGGAGAAGGAATGAAATTTTACCAGGAGCTTTCTGGCAAAGTTTTCTTTCTTCACAGAAAACATGATCTTTGCATATCATTTTTGGCAAGATGTAGGAAAAGGAAATTTTGAGAACATAAATTAGTCCTAAGAGTTTATTAGTTGATCTTCCTGAATGTGTGATTGTAAAAATTACCAAGTTTCTATCTTGACATGAGGGAATCCTTTTGAGGAACAATGAGAATTATTTTCTAACTAGGTAAGCATTTGAGTATGGCAATTATTTGTGTTGATTTTCTTTGATATTTTTATGTCTTTTAGAAATGTTTGCCCATTTTCTTTTCACATATATCTGCAGTTATACAAAAAAGTGCAAGTAAGGTTATCATCTAGCTAATTCAATTATAAGTTTAATAATTCAATTATAAAATAAACTATTATAATTTTTTCTGTTTATATTTATTCATTTTAATTTTCCTAACCTCAGTCTAAGTTACCATTCTTGTTTTGACATTGATCAATATTGACCATATATTTCTTGCCTTCCCACTCATATTTCTATATTTAAAACTTAAAAAGTTATTAAAAAATATAATTGCTTTTTTACAAATTCTTATCCCCCCATAAAAGTGTTCATTGTTTTCCATTCATAAGAACATTCCCACAATCATTTTTAATCATTTTTTGGAATAAAAGCACAAAATACTACTGAAAATATTCTTTGTTGTTCCCATAATATATCAGATTCCTAAGGGAAACTATTATGCTTCAGTCTTGATCCAGTATGAGGTACTTCTTGGACTTCCAATAAACGTTTTAAGAATGAGAATATGAAAGAAGAAAGGAATAAATTCTTGTTAATTGCAGTTGGATAATCCTTGCAAACTAGACTTCTTCCATCTCAAATTGCTCAGTGTGTCCACTCATATTTACCACATCTATATTTTCAGAGCAAAACTGTGCATGTAATGCTAAAGAATAGTTTCTAGAGTATTACAAACTTGGAAAGTAATATTTTATCTGTTAATTGTTATTATTCATCTTAAGTGAAAATATTCAGTCAATATAATGCCTTATGTTAAATCATCATACACTAAAAAAAGAGGCTATTTTCAATGTTATTTTATTCTAAAGATAAGAGACAGACAGGAGACCTTGTAGAAACTTCAGAGAGGTCTACACAGGACATGAAATTGCATGAGCAATGCTGCTTGAACACATATATTCATTTTTCTGTATTGAGAGTCCATCGATCTTCAAATGTCTCACAGAGATCTCTTAGTAAAGAGACTTTAGAACTCCTACTAGAAAATATTACGGAAACTTTCTAAGTGAACATATTCCAATACATTTGAATAATATGAAAACATTAAAAATAAAATACTTTTTATCTGGTAGTTGATTTTTTTTTTAAAAAAGCAAAAATTTAATAAAATTATCAGAAAAATTCAAGCCAAAAATGTTAAAACCCACATTCTAGTAACAAAGAACTGGCTAAATCTAGGACTCCAATTGCCTCTATTGAGTGTCCCCTTACTTCAGTTTTACTGTATTAAAACCCAATTCTGAGTTTTATTTTTTTCCTTTGATAAGACTGCAGCATCCCAATTCTCACACTTTCTCAATGTGCTAAATTGTTAACAAAACAAAAGCAATTATTTTACATCTCTTTATACTTTATATGAATATTATAAACTGTATGAATGCTTCTTGAATTTCCTTTGCCAATTAAGTTTATTATTTTGATATTTATCCTCATTAATATGTAAAGCTTTAATGTGTTCTTTTGTGTGTGTATGTGTGTGTATGTGTGTGTGTGAAGATTAGCCCTGAGCTAACATCTGTGCCAGTCTTCCTCTACTTTGTATGCGGGATGCCTCCACAGTATAGCTGATGAGTGGAGTAGGTCCACACCTGGGATCTGAACCTGCAAACCCAGGCCACCAAAGCAGAGTGCTCAGAACTTTAACCACTTAGCTACAGAGCTGGCCCCCATATGTTCATTTTTTTTTTTAAAGATTTTATATTTTTCCTTTTTCTCCCCAAAGCCACCTGGTACATAGTTGTATATTCTTCGTTGTGGGTCCTTCTAGTTGTGGCATGTGGGACGCTGCCTCAGCGTGGTTTGATGAGCAGTGCCATGTCCTCGCCCAGGATTCGAACCAACAAAACACTGGGCCGCCTGCAGTGGAGTGTACGAACTTAACCAGTCAGCCACGGGGCCAGCCCCCATATGTTCATTTTTAATGCTAAATAGAATTTCATTGAATGCGTCTATCAGCTGTTGATAACCCAAATAACCAGCAATGCTTGCTAAATCCAAGTAGTAAAAGGGAACATTTCCAATTTTAAAATAAAAGTTATATTTACATTTATATACAATTAAGGAAAGCTTACACATACAAAAAGCTATTGCTTACAAAAAAAGAAAATAGCTTCTCTGATATATTTTATTTTTTTAAAGGGCATTATATTCGTGTCAGTGATCCCCAAACATTACTGTACATTAAAATAGCCTAGGGAGATTTTGAAAATCCCAAAGCCTAGCTCACAACCTGTAATAATCAAATCAGAATATCTGGAAGTGAGAGCCAGACATTAATATTTTTAAAAGATCCCCAGGTAATTGCAAAGTACAGCAGAGCTGGCAACCAGTGAGTTATGCTGAGCCATTTTTTATTTAAAGTATTGAGATTCGAGTACCTTCCTTGTAGCCTCCAGCATGCTAACTCCTATTACCCTCCTCTACTCTAGGAAGTTTTCCCTGAGACAGTGTTGAATTTTTTTTTTTTCTTGGTTCACTTTCCTTACACATGTTACTACTAAAACTGCCTGCTCTAGTCCCTGAATAATATACCTTAAATTATTTAACTCACTGTGCTCTCAGGTTTCGTCTCTGTTGCTTTTAAGTCCTTTATATATATTTATATTGTTATCAGTTGTACATTGCAAGGTCCTAAGGATTTGGAAACAGGTCAGTTCATTAGCTCTGTACAGTAGCTAACAAAGGGCCACACACAGAGAGACAAATCATGCTTTTGCTCATAATGATATCTTGCACAGAACAAAAACTATAACTCTCTAAAATCTGGTCCCAAGCCCCTTAAATCATACATAATACTTGAGCTGTTTTATTCTAGACTTTGTTTTGATTCAACCGTATGCATTATATGCAGTTATTTAAATAATTTTCTGCTTATTTCAGATCATAATTTTATTCATATTTACTTACATATAATCACATCTAAATTAAATAGAAACTACATAGTATTTAGATTTAGAGCCAACAATCTATGCTCCAAAGAATATTTTCTTTTTTAACAGAGCATTATCTCCAGTACAAAGAAATCGATGTATTGAAATCAGCTTAAGCTAAAGAGGCCACAACATCTGCAACAGAAGCAAAAACGCAAAGAGAACATATCTTTTTCTGTCATCTGCATTTTGCTGATTTCTACTGCTTTCTTCACTTTCTCCATCTCTGACTGTCTTCATCACTCTCAAAAATAATATAAATTGTGGAACATATGTATACTTAATTTAACTGAAACTGTGATGGAATGTAATCAGGTTACATACATCACCAGTACGACAGGAAAGGTACCTTGAGCCTGTCCAAAATCTTATTTAAGACAGTTCCCATTTTGACTGAGAAGACAAACAGGGACATTTCAAGAGTACAAAAACTTACTGTGTACTACAATAATTGGGACACTCCCGAATTTTTCCCTCGAGAAAATGTATTTTAGGATTATTGTAATAAAGAGGACCTAGACATTTAGTTTAAAAATTAAATAACTCTAATTCAAATTATGTCAACTGTTTATCACTCTCCCCTAAGATGACATTCTGCAGAAGGTAGTAATGTTTATATGATAGAAAAATTCAAGCTAGTGACACATATCTCAGGGCCATTAAATGGAATCAAAGCAGTGTGCTCTTTGGAGGGTAGGGGTAGGGGTACTTTAATTCCAAAAGGATCAAAATATGCTGCTTCTGGCTCTTGAAAATAATAACTCATAATTCAGTGTGGCTTGTTTACAGTTGAAATTGCAAGGAAAACTACTTGCAGCGGCCTGATGTTTCAGGTGGAAGATATTAAGTCTGTGGTAAGTTGCCGCCTGTGAAGAGGTTGACTCAGATGAAAAGAATCCAGCTAGCTGAGTTACAGGAGCATGTATATTTATGGGGTTCTGCTTCAGCGTTGTTTACATGTTGGAGGGTCCAGTTCCTACCCACAGCCGTCACTTAGTGCAATAGGGCGGAGGAATGGAGAATTGACAGCATTGGTGACACTCGGTACCATCTCTGGGTGAAAAATAGAAAGATAGTCATTTTTGCCTTCCACTTAGCAGCTATTGATTGCAATGACATGAGGTTTTACTTTTGAATTAAAAAAAGAGTTTTGGTGCTTAATAACCTTTGGGTTTGGGTTAATGTATTGAAGGTATATTCATTGATGTAAACTTCTGGAGGGCTAAAAAATATAAACTGTAAAATAGATGACAACTACAGAAAATAATACTAGAAAAATAGTTTGTTCTTAGAGGAGTACCAGAAAGGCAATTTGAAGATTATCACTTCAGCATCCAATCACTTTGATGCCAGTTAGCCTCACACTCCTAATGAACTTGAAGACAAAAGGTACTATCATGCTTAAAGCTATGCATTAACGTTTAATGTTATAGCATCTAATAAATATCTCCTGATCAAATTGGATTCTAGATTCAAAGTTAGCTCTGGGCTTGCTTTTAAATCCTTTAACGTTTTTACAGATTGTGTAAATAATACACAGCCCACGAGAATATGGTGAGGAGGTGTGCAATTGTTGTTCTCTCACAGCATACCATTATCTAAACCCACCTCCAGTGTACAGCTACAGTCTGTTTATTTAAAAAGCATCTATATTCTAGATAAAAGAAGTGAGGAGCAGCAACCACAAGACAGCTAACATAAAATTTGTGCTGTTTCATTTGTCAAATCAATAGTGCCATTTTCATATCTATCTTATACTGTTTAATTTTTACAGATTTTGTGACAGGTATTGACTTCCAGCTAGAGACATAAATTATAAATATTGTTTATGTTGTTTAAAATATATAATTGAAATTAGCATGACAGAAAATCAATGACACTCTAAAAATATATAATTCAGTAAAAATATACTGAATTATCGACAAATAGGAGAGAGAAGGAAGATAGAGGAAAGAAGTTTTATAATTTATAAATATAATACAAATATCTAAATGCAGGACTGCAACTTTTTCTAATTTGAAGAGCTTTATCAGCCTGAAGCTACTTCAACAAGAAATAGGAAACTATGGGGAAATGAACTCCATGCCTGCCCAATACGGCTTACTTAACGAGAATTTTCTACATGGTGACAGTAGGATGTCAATAATTGTGGAGAGAAATGGTGGTTATTCAGAAAACTCTGCCAAGTGAGGGGAAATTCAAACTTCAAAAGTAGGAACACAACTAACGGATAACAAAAAATTAGAAAAACCTGGGCCTTTTCTCACTGGGACTGCAAAGCCTTGAATGGATGTTACACCAATGCTAGTGTGAGATGTTTAAATTTAAACCATCTTCCTGTTTTAAAGGTATTGGGATAAAGATACCTGGGGTGTTAAGTGACTTTTTCCAAGGTCACATAGTTGAATCAGTGGGAGAGACAAGCACAGCTGCTGAGTGACAGAGACAGCAGAAGCTGTAGAATCTTCTTTCACTCAACATCTGCAGAATTGCTTGAACTACTCCAGCATGTAAGCCCTTCACTGGTGACACCATGCTAATCATTATAGCATCTCAGCAGAGGTGACAACACTGGAAGCTTCTACCTACACCCCGGTTGTTTCTTCATGTTTAAAGATAATACTGATTAGATTATTAGCATATATGGAATGAAAAACATAAGAGAAATTGGCCAAGGGTTTTTCATATCTCTTCAGACAAATTATTAGATGCTGAAACAAGAAAGACTAATGCTGGTCCACAATTTAGACCTTCCATGGCCTCCACTCACCCATCATCACTCAGGAAAGCCCCAAGAGATTGTCTCAAAACGCTAAAATAAATTAACCGGGAGTCAGTTCCTAAGGTATCACTACCATATTAAACCTTCTTAAAAGATTATGCCTGACTCACACACTCCTTTGATTATTCATTCATGTGGAATTTAAGACTACAAATCACATTTGTTGCATTTTAGAAAATTCCCTTAGCATAGTTTCAGTTATATCAAAACTAAATAAATCATCTTTAGCCAAAAAATGCTTTTTAATCTTCAAGTTCCTCTGGGATACTGTACATTTCTATTCTTCTCAGACTTCACTGAATTAAAATTAGTATTTTGTGTGCAATGCAGAAAAATGTTTAGAAATAACATTGATCTTGAAAAAACAGGTCAGCAGTCTAAAGGTTTTAGTTTTAATAACACATTTTTTAGTGGATACACCTAATTCATTAAAAAACCCATGTCCACATAATCAGCTATGCAAAAAAAACTAATGTTATGCTTAACATAGATTGTAATTTTACTTATTTGCAGTAGACATGATGACATTAAAGCAATATGCATAAAATGTGAGGCCTACAATTTTAGAAGTTTATAGTTTTATGTGCATGTATAGTCCTTTCGTTTTTCAGAGAAACGTTATCATACAATGCCCTGAAAATTAATAAACACCTACTTTAGATACAACATCAACTGCATTAAGCAATGTTTGATTGCCAGGTAAACTGTGAAGAAAAATATGCTAGTAACAAATACTACTTTTTGTTCCCCAAATAAATGACTATATTGGATTATAGGGTTAAACAACTTAACATATAAGTGAACAAATATTAATGTCAAAATTCATGTGTAATCAGAGCCCTTACCCTAGTATTCCTATTCGTTACTCAATGATCCTATTCAACATCTGTATTTTTTGCATACCTGATGCAGTGGTGCTCTGAAACCAGCTCACACTAGCTTGCAAGAGCTGGTTGTTAAATATTATGAATTCCGCAAGCCATCATTACCATGAAATCAGCCATGATGTGAGAATCTACACCATGGAAATTGGCAAATGGCATAACTCATGCCTCTCCCCAGTCCCTTTACTAATACACTACTGTAATTATCTAGAAAAATCTGTGCAGAGTGCTACAGGGGCAAAAAATAAGAACTAAAACCCAGCGTCAGTTCTTAACATACTTACTTGAAGGGATTGGATAGGAGAGACGAAGCTTAAAAACTGAAAAGAGGAAGACTCGAAGCTAATTTAGACAGTTTAAATCTTTATGGTTTGGAGGATGAAAGCGCCATTAATAGAAAAACAGAATTCAGGAAGGACATTCTTTTGGGAAGTTTGTTTAGGACAGGAGTTGTTCACCTAGGGACTAAATTCAGTGGAACAACTAGGAGAGCGAAATATGAGAGTTCAGATCATCCACGATCACATCTTTGTCTATGACAACAGTTGCCTGAATTGCCTGAACATTAGCATCAGCTAGAGAACCTCAAAAAACACTGACATCTGTGTACCACCCCCAGAGACTGTGGGTTAATTGGTCTGGAACATCGTCTGAGCTTTGGAATATTTTAAAGATGCCAAGTGATTCTAACGTGCAGACAAGTTTTGGAAATACTAGTCTAGGATCCAAACGTTTGTAAATCTTTAAATACCTTAAATTCCTGAAACACAGAGAGAAATGGAGATGTCAGAAGCTTTATGACCTTTATGAAACACAGAGAGAAACGGAGATGTCAGAAGCTTTGAGAGACCTTTACAGACTCTCAAAGTGTGCTAGGTACTGCCATTCCTCAGAGCTGAGGGAGAAAGACACTCTTATTTTCTACCACGTAAGAGGAGTTCAGCAAAATGAATTTGGTCGCTTTGCACTAACCCCAAAATTTAACAATTGGTAGTCAGGGAATTGTGAGAAAAAAGTTAGTTGTTTGTGATATAAACTGAGATGTGATGTCACCACTTGTACAAGCTATCTGAAATAAAATGCCTTATACATTTCATGGTGCATGCCTAGCTCACCAAATATAATACCACAATGTTTTCAACTGTATTGGAAGAAGTAGCTCAATCACTTCCTAAGTGATACTTGGTAAGGAAGAGAATTACCTCCTTAGCCATATGTTCTCCCATAGAGAGAATTCATTAAGATTGTAAACAATCAGCCTGATTCTAGAAAGTACAAGAATTCAAGGAGTGGGCGGAGCAAAATGGCGGGGTGAGCTGACCGGGATTCTCTCACCTCCAAAATACAACAAAAGATTGGAAGAACTGAATTTCAGAGAATAAACATAATGCCAGCTCGTTAGAGACCTACAATACCAAGAAGGCAGAGATCATAAACCTTGCAGATGGCCTCGGAGGCACTGGAACAGTAGGAGAGAACATCGCTCCCTCCCCTAGAGTCTGCGATCGCTGCGGCGCAGGTCGGGAAGGAGCAGGGGAGGGGCCGCGCGACTGGGGGATCATCCAGGACTCCTGCCGCTGATTCAGTGGAGACCCGCTGACAGGGGGAAAGCTTCCGCCTGCGGGGACCCTATAAATCAAGGGCCTTGGGAGACCAGAGAACAGAACTGATCTGAATCCAGACTGGCGCGTGTGAGTAACAGCCCCTCCCCCCAAACAAAGCCAGTGGGCGCAGCCATCTTGCCCCAAGGCGGAGAGCTAACATGCCGCTCTCGACCCCCATCTAGTGGCAACAGGCTGTAACTGCAACTGAATTCTACCACCATGAGAAAAAAACACTCCTCCACCATCCAGCAATTTATAAAAGCCCCAGACCAGAAGGAAAACAATAAAAACACAGAATTAAGTCCTGAGGACTTGGAATTAGGTAAACTAAGTGATAGTGAATTCAGAGCAGCTATAATCAAAAAACTCAATGAGGTAGAGAGAAAGATAGAGAAACAAGCTGAGTTCTGGAGTTACTTCACAAAAGAGATTGAAATCATAAAGAAGAATCAAACAGAATTACTTGAGATGAAAAACACAATGGACCAGATAAAACAGAATACGGATTCCCTGAATGCCCATGTAGACAACATAGAAGAGCAAATCAGCATAATCGGGGGACTAGACAAGGCTGAATGGCACCAGAGAAGAGGAAGAAAGAGAACTAAGAATTTAAAAAAAAATGAGGAAAATCTCCGAGAGATAATGGATTCAATGAGGAGTAAGAACATAAGGATCATAGGAATTCCCGAGAATATGGAAAAGGAAAATGGAGCAGAAAGTGTGCTTAACGAAATTATTGAAGAGAACTTCCCAAATCTAGGGATCAACGGAGAAATGTGT